AAACCCTAAACCCTAAACCCTAAACCCTAAACCTCAACCGAATTCAAGAGCTTGGAATCCCACCTCGACCCCTCAATAACCCTGGCCAGGAACTCCAAAATCTACCCATACGAAAGTAACTTGGTCTAGTGTAGGGATTCATCCCAAAAGGGGGCGCCACAGTACATCCTCTACCGTTTCAGGGGTTCGGGTCTACGGCAACTACCGTATACTGTCTTAACAGCTACAGAGCCCAATATGGGAGTTTACGAGAATGAGGGACCCAAATATAGACCCCCAACTAGCAGTCATTCCCTTGTATCAAGGACCCCCTACCTTCGGAAACCCCCATATGGAGACGGGGTTGGGGAGGTTTCGACAGCCGAGGACTCCTGTCTCAAGAAGAGGCGGAAGAAGAAGTGAACCAAATTTACGAGGACCCGCGTGGTCAAGTTGCGGAAGCTTATGCGTCGGCAGGGTGTGACTTTTTGGGGCAACGCGGCCGCGCAAGTGCAGTTGCATGAAGTGCTTGGCAAGGGTTACCTTCTTTGGGTGTCTGGGGTTGCATGTTGTCGCTGCCCGAGCACATCATGAGTTGAGTGAGTAGAGTTGTCATGCTGCTAAAGGATTTGGACCCTACGATGTAAAGCCGCGACCCTTACGCGAAACCCTAAATCAAATCCCACGCCCTTGGCATCCACGCTTAAAGGAGACGACAACCCCCCCACCCCCCCAAGACCCTGTGCCCTCAACCCGAATCCCCACACCCTGAAGCTAAACCGTTGAACCCTAAACCCTAAACCATAAACCCTGAACCCTGAACCCTAAACTCGAAACCCTATAACCTCAACCACGGAAACACTACGTGCCCCAAAGAGGAGTTCGATGCCGAACACCGCTATTCGCAACTGCAAGGTTGGAGACGGAGCAGTTGGGGCTGGGACAGACCCTGAGAACCCTAGAAACCCTAAAGTTTTAAAGGTTTCGGGTTTCGGGGTTTCGGGGTTTCGGGGTTTCGGGGTTTCGGGGTTTCGGGGTTTAGGGTTTAGGGCTTAGGGTTTTTTTCCCTAATCAAGATCCCTCAATGCCAGGGAGCCTCGATAAACTCGAAGAAGTTCAAAAGCTGACAAACTTTATAGTCCTAAAAGCCCGAAGCACACTGAAGACACCAGACTGTGACTTCGCGTTCAAACCTGGAGGGACTTCAGTGCATGCTGACGTTGATGACGCCGCATTGATGAGTGGCAGGCGTGTAGTGTACTCCGGTGTGGAATGAAACTGACATCACATGTGAAGTTGAAGTCCTACCTCCAGCTGCAGTTTCAACCAGATTTCTGGTTGATGAGTTCGGCGAATGTGCAGGAACCATGGCTGGTGTCGTGGAGTGCCCCGCCCTCTCCCCAAGTCCCTACCCCATCCTACCCCATCAGGGTCTGGGGTTTTGTTTTTTTTGATTGAACGCTAAAGCCCTGAAGCCTTTACAAGCCCGACTTAAACTCCAAAACCCTAAAGCCACAAAACCCTAACCTCAAAACCCTCAACCCCCAAAACTCCAAAGCCCCAAAACTCAAACAAACCCTACAGACTCCCCCCCAAGAGACTCCAATACCCCTTAACTAAGGAACATTCCTTAAACCATCTAAGGAACCCTATTACAATTCAAGGGATACTCCTTAAATAAGAGGTCTCGGAGTCTCTGGGCCATCTTTCTCCAAAGTTGCAGGGCCGTGCCCGCAGATGTGGAGGGTCAAAGAGCCCACTACGAGGCCGGTGTGCCCCAGCAGAAGAACTGGCCAGGCACTAGGGTAGGGTCGTTTAGGGTTTAGGGTCGTTTAGGGTTTAGGGTTAGGGTTTCGGGTTTAGGGTTTAGGGTTTAGGGTTTAGGGTTTTGGGTTTTGGGTTTAGGGTTTAGGGTTTAGGGTTTAGGGTTTAGGGTTTAGGGTTTAGGGTTTAGGGTTTAGGGTCTATAGGGTTTAGGGTGTAGGGTTTAGAGCTTAGGGTTTAGGGTTTAGGGTTTGGGTTTCCTAGCGGTTTGGCTTCAGGGCAAGGTCCAAAGTACGGCCGCCCTCGTTCCAAGGCTTCGTTGAAGACTTTCCGGGCCAGACTCTTCATCCCCGCTTCAACCAGCTGCTGAGAAGCCCTCTCCCCCTGAAACCCTAAACCCTAAACCCTCAACCCTCAACCCTCAACCCTAAACCCTAAACCCTAAACCCTAAACCCTCTGCCCCTGAAAAATCCTGAAACCTAGACAGCGAGCCGAGCACTACGTAATCCCTCAGGTGCGATACAGAACCCCAAAACTTGGGCCCTGAACCCTGAAAACCCTGTAAAGCCGATAAGCCCTGTAACGCCCTGTAAACCCTGTAAATCCTATAAACCTTGGAAACCCTTGAAACCCTATATATAAACCCTAAACCCTAAACCCCAAATTCTAAACTCTGCAAACCCAGAAGCTCAGGAACACCCGAAAACAAGCCTATAAAACCCTATATGACCCTATACAAAGCCCCACAAACCCTAAACCCTAAACCTTAAACCCTAAACCCTAAACCCTAAACCCTAAGCCCTAAGCCCTAAGCCCTAAGCCCTAAACCTAGAAAGCTCAGGAACATCACTGGCCTACCCGTCTCCTGGCTCAGGGCCATCGGAGAGGCCTCCTGCAGCCGGGGTCTGTGCCAAGCTTCGGGCTTAGGGTTTAGGGTTTACGGCTTAGGGTTTAGGGTTTAGGGTTTAGGGTTAGGGTTCAGTGTTTAAAGTGTAGGGTGCAGCAAGGGCTTCTGCATCCATCCGCAAACTCAAGTTGCCAGTCACTTCAAGATGTTTGCGGCATCTTTTGTGCAAGTATACGAGAGATTCCCTAAGTCAGAGTCCCGCTTGAGGAATCTCTTTATGACAGGTCTTTCTTTGGAGCTGGGGAATCATGTTTAATGTCGGTGATGGCTTAAGAAACAGGACCTGTAGAACAAGCATGAAGACCTTTGGAAACGGAACTGGGTCTGGAGAACAAAAACTCTCTAGTCTGGTCGAAGAGAAGTGCAAGCCCCTCAGATGTCTTGCCCTTTCAAACACACGTGTCGTCTTACGACTTCCGGCAAGACGAGTGATTGGACGTGCCGGCATTGTAGGTAGCGTGGGTTTAGGGTTCCTTCAAGAATTGCCCTCGCAGCCCAAGTGCCAAAACAGAGACAGCAGGACCCCTCAACCCTATAAACAGGGTTTAGGGTTTAGGGTTTAGGGTTTAGGGCCAGGGCGATAGGGTCTGAACACTCTGCTGCCTGCAGAACACGTCTAGGTAACCTATAGGTAGGCTCTTGGGATATGTTTGAATGTTCCCCTCTTCGGGTGTAGAGGGCTTAATGCACACATGAGAGGGTGTAGAGGTCCAACCTAAACCCTAAACCTAAACCCGAAGCCCCAAACCCTAAACCCTAAACTCTGAACACCCGAAGGCGGCCTACCGCATTCCGGAGGGCCTCCGCGCGCACGCCACCGTGCGCTTCTGGGAAGCAAGGTCTAAGGCTCTAGGGTTTTTAGGGTTCAGGGATTAGGGTTTAAAGGGTAGAGGGTTTAGGGTTTAGGGTTTGGGGTTTAGGGGTACGAAGCTCTCCACATGTACCCGGCAAGCTAGCATTGAGACAGCTTCCGTCGGAAGCTGGAGATGTGAGTTGAGAATTCGGGCTTTTAGGATTTCTTTTTGGGGGGGATGGGGAAAAAGGACTTAGTAGCTGAGTGAGTACACTTTACACTTTTTGGGATACTGTACAATAATCCCCAAAAGAACTGAAAGTGTACACTTTTTGGGGGGCTTATGAACTCAGCAACTAAGAAGAGGCTGTGCAGGGTTTTGGGGCTTCGGGGGTTGTTCAGTTTTTTTGTTTTACAAGGCTTGGGAGTTAAAGGGCTTTCTTACTGGTTCTCAAGTGGGGAACTTAGGGCGTAAGGTTTCTCCATACAGTCACTTCGTCCGTTACAGTGTTCTATAGGGCAAAGCTGCAAGTATCCGATCCCCTAAGCCCTAAGCCCTAAACGCTAAACCCTAAACCCTAAGCCCTAAGCCCTGAACCCTGAACCCTGAACCCTGAACCCTAAACCCTTTCTTAAAACCTGTAAGTTTAGTGTCGAGGCTTACGGCTCCGGATTCGGGGCTCAAGTGTTTTGGGTCTAGGCTAAATCTGAAACCCGAAACCTCAAACCCCAAACGCCACGACTATAAACTGTATACCCTAACCCTAAGCCCTAAACTCTAAACCATAAACCCTAAACCCTAAGGCCTAAACCCTAAACCTCCTGGGGTTGGGCTTGGGGAGGTCTAGAATCATCGCCCAGACCAATGAAACCCCAACGTGTGGAGGCGAAACCAAGACACAGACCCCTGGGAGGATCCAAAAAGTAGATCCCCTTAAGGGTTCCTAATAATGTCCCAGTAGTAGTAGACCCTAAACCCGAAACCCGAAACCCTAAACCCTAAACCCTAAACCCTAAACCCTAGACCCTAGACCCTAGACCCCAAACCCTAAACCCTAAACCCCAAGCCCTAAACCCTAAGGTACTATTTGGGGGTTAGGTTTTGCATCCTCCCAGGGGTCTGGGGACACTGAACCCGCAATCCGAAACCCTAAACAGAGCTGCTTTCCGGTTTCAGGACAGGGTTTAGGGTTTAGGGTTTAGGGTTTGGGGTTTACAGGGTTTGGGAGAAGCCGAAGGCAAGCTGTTCCAGTCCCGCCGGGCGCAGCTTCAGCAAGGCGTGGTCGTCACAGAGGGCCCAATACCCTAAACCCTAAACCCTACATACCCCTTGATTGCTAAAGAAGTGCCTTAAGTTCCTTAGCGATCCGAATGTGAATTAGGCAAGCTTTTAGGTTTAGGGATTTAGGGTGTGCGGTGTAGGGTTTAGGGTTTAGCGTTTAGAGTCTTTAGAGTTTAGGGTTTAGGGTCTATAGGGGTATGTTCCCATTCTTATTAATAAAGATAAAGGGCTCCCCCTGCCCCCCCCCCCCCAATGCCGGGGGCTCATTTTTTTTAATGGTTACACCTGGGGCTGCAGGGCTACAAGCAGGCGAGTTATTAGGGTTTAGGGTTTAAGGTTCAGGGTGGAGGGTGTAGGTGGTTATCACAACTTGCTCTGACTTTCTTCGGGGTGCCGACACCTTCACCCTTCCTAAACCCTAAACCCTAAACCCTAAACCCTAAACCCTAAACCCTAAACCCTAAACCCTAAACCCTAAACCCTAAACCCTAAATTGCACCGTGAATCCTAAGCCTTAAGCCCTCAGTGGGAAGCCCTCCAACCTCCGCCGGCAGACAAACCTAAACCCCAAGACCTTTAACAGCACTAAGGGTTGAGGGTGTAGGGTTTAGCAGTTAGGACCCAAAACCCCAAATTACGCTGTGTTTCTTATGCCCTTTGACCCGTAAAGTCCCTCAGCCCCTTAAGCCCCTATATAAGGTTTGAACCATGGGCCCTTAGTATGGTCCCTTACCCTTGTTTATAGTGATCTGAAGTATGGGCCCTATACATATATATATATATATATATGTAAAGTTATATATATGTATATACATAGTGTATGTAAGGGTTGTATAACAAGGGACCCAAAGTAGGGGCCCATACTTGGAACCCTAGACCTTAAGCCCCACTCATCATCTGTCGCAGGACGCATTGACTGGCCGACAGTCTCCTGGCTTTTTCCCCAGACCCTAAACCGACTCGAAACCCTAAACCCTACACCCTAGACCCTCAACCCTAAACCCTGACCCCTATTCTTCAAACTGCGGCCCTAAGCCGCAAGCCCTAGACTTTCAAATTGCAATCCAAGAAAGCCATTGCTCTTCATCTTGAGAAACCGCAGCCGTGGTTCTGTAATCTTCAAAATCAGACCCTGAACCCTTAGATCTTCAATTTGTGCGTCGTCCTCTGCATATGTTCCATGGGTCCTGTCAGGTCAGTCCTACTGGGGTTCTGTGGCCATGAGAATGATCCGCGATGTCCTTTGGGCACCTTCCTCGAGCTGGGACATCCCCGAAATCCCAAAAGCCCGAAACCCTACACCCTAAACCCCAAACCCTAAACCCTAAACCCTAAACCCCAAAGCCTAAACCCTAAACCCGAAACCCTAACCCTAGACCCTAAATCCTGGACCCTAAACCCAAAACCCTAAGCCTTATAACAAACATCCTAAGCCCAAAGCTCATGCCAGCAGAGGCCGAACTGCTGGTCTTCGGCTCACTCTTGCTGCGTTTCGACCCCGACCGCGAGGCAGCCGAGCCTTTCGTTTGTTGATTGTTTTGGGCGGGGTTGGGTTTAGGGTTTAGGGTTTAGGGTTTAGGGTTTAGGGTTTAGGGTTTAGGGTTTAGGGTTTAGGGTTTAGGGTTTAGGGTTTAGGGTTTAGGGTTTAGGGTTTAGGTTTTAGGGTTTAGGGTTTAGGGTTTAGGGTTTAGGGTTTAGGGTTTAGGGTTTGGGTTTAGGGTTTAGGGATTAGGGTTTAGGGTTTAGGGGGGTTTAGGGTTTAGGGTTTAGGGTTTAGGGTGTAGGGTGTAGGGTGTAGGGCTTGGGGCTTACGGAATGTTTGTAGGGCATGTCATTGAGGGTTTGTCGCTGCTAGCGCCAGATCAGGGTTCAGGGCTCAGTTAAGAGGATTCCTTAACGAAGCTTCGCCCAATGTAAAGCCCACCCGAAATCCTGTGGCTGAAACGACATTCTGTCTGCCATTCTTCAAATTTCATATGGAAACAAGGGGCCCTATAACTCTCGGATGGTTTTGGGTTGTTTATGGTCTGTGGGAGGCTGTGGCTACCCTAAAAGGCGAGATTTCAACTGCCTGCAAAGGCCATTCGCACCGGACTTCTCCACGACGATGACAACCAGCGTCTTGGCCGCTGGGTTTGCCAACCCCAAGTGCTTAGCTTTTGGGGTGCCCGGGGGGTGGGGGGGCCGGTTGGGAGGGGGGTGGCCGGGGAGGGGGAGGCTTAAGGCTTGGGGGTCTAGGGTTTTTAGGGTTCAGAGTTTAGGGCTTAAGGTTCAGGGTTTAGGGTTTAGGATTTAGGGTTTAGGGTCTAGTGTTTAGGGTTTAGGAACTTTGGGCTCACTCAGAGCTTGAACAGCCCCGCCTGGGCCATCAGCTTCGAAGTCTCCTTGACGAGGTACGTGGTGCATCCGCCCTGCCACGTCCGCCTATCAGGCCGCCGACCTCTGCACGCCTAAAAAAGGGGCCTTATGGTAATTAGAATGGGGTTTTGCGGGTTGTTGCGGTATAATTCTACAGGGATCATAAGGGAATACCACTTGAAATCGGGTGCAGCAAGGGTTTAGTAATAACTTAGAGTGTAACTGCAAGATTTCAGGCTTAGGGGTTGTAGGGTTCGTAGGATTTGTAGGGTTTACAGGCTGTATAGGGTTTATAGTTTACAGGGTTTAGAGGGTTTACAGGGTTTATAGGGTTTACTGGGTTCATAGGGATTATAGGGTGTATCGGGTTTATAGGGTTGTTGTAGGGTTTAGTAGGGTTTATAGGGTTTCTAGGGTATGTTAGGGTTTGTAGGGTTTATAGTGTTTGTAGGGTTTATAGGGTGAAGGTTAAGACCATCTTCCCAAGACGGCAAAGCCCTTATTCCATCTCATTCCTTTAATTAAAGCCTTGGGCCACGCAAGGTTGAGACGATTTGGGTGGCTTCAAAGACTTGTCCTGACTATCTAAGAATATTTCAACATACCCCAAAACCCACACCCCTCAACTCCCAAACGGAGAAAGTAAGGAAGGATCTTACGATACCCCTTAATTTGATGTAATAGGTATACCCAAGGTGTATGTTGAATATTCTAAACCCTAAACCCTAAACCCTAAACCCTAAACCCTCAACCCTAAACCCTAAACCCTTAGAGACTAGGTTGCAGGGTTTGGCTGCATGAGCTTGCCAGGCCAAGACGTCGAGCGTGGGACCTTCAACCAGAGACACTGTGCTTCAGCGGAAGAGCTGCTGGCGAGTTTGGGGTTTAGGGTTTAGGGTTTAGGGTTTAGGGTTTAGGGTTTAGGGGTTTGCATTTGTAGTATTGTTGTGGAATGAGGTACCCAAAGCCATACCAAATAGGGTTTTGGGGTACCTAATTCCATTGGACCCTCTGGGGTTGTGTCAAGACCCTGCCAAGACCGAAGGTTGATGAGTCGTTCCTGTATCGCAACCCCATGCCCCCTCAGCAGTGAACAGTGTGTCTGTTCATGCTGGGCAACAAACAGCTCTGGGCCACCCCCAAATCCCCAATGCGTGCGCCAACTGCTGTTGCAAGGTTCGCATAGCCTTTGGGCTCTAGAAGTTAGGTTTTGCGATTGAAGGGCCTCGCCGACACGTATCTCCACACCTGCGCCCACAAATGGTCCTTTCTCTTCGCCCTGGCTGGATTACAGGGTTTTGGTGGTTAGGGCAGTTGTGGGCGCGACCCTGGAGGAGCGCTTCACCGTCCAGGCGCCGCCTGCTGACGACTGGGTCTCTGGCGACATCGACGAAGAGGACATCTTCATCGGCCTAGAGAATGCGCTCAATGCAGTTCCAGCCCTGATCCTGTGGCGGTATACGCCAGCCCTGGAGTGGCATCCCCCTTGGGCACAATCGACTGGCACCCGCGGATGTGCGGGACCCATGAATGTACGGTGTAACCTTAAGAACTCCTTAAAAGCGGTCTTTTGCTCCTTCAAGTCGTTCCTTGTCACGTGACCGCTGTTGGGCTCGCTGAATCATCCCTTGAGAACTAAACCACGGATCATCAAGGTTCTTTTGTCCTGTGTCCGGCTCACCAGGCTAGTTTATAAAGAGAGAGAGAGAGAGAGCGCAGTGAGCCATATATTATAATTATCTAGAACCGGAAGTAGGCCCATTTTCCCTTTTCTTAGGGTTGGGGTTCCCTTATAATCCCCTTAAAACCAAAAAGGGCACCTTTTTATTCCTAGGTTACTCCCGGGTCGAGTTATAAGTGAACATGTACCTCGCCTCACCTCACCTCACCGGTTAAGGGCAAGCCCCTCAGCTGCGTGAAGCCCACAACTACTAACCCTTAATAAATACCCTCAACAGGAATCCCCCTCCTCTTTGCCCTCGTTCAACCCTAAACCCTAAACCCTAAACCCTAAACCCTAAACCCGAAACCCTAAACCCGAAACCCGAAACCTCAAACCCTAACCCTCAAACCCTAAAGCCTGCACCCTGCATGTCCAGACCTGGAGTCCAGCAAGCCTTCGTCGAACCCAGGGCTAGGGTTTAGGGTTTAGGGTTTAGGGTTTAGGGTTTAGGGTTTAGGGTTTAGGGTTTAGGGTTTAGGGTTAGGGTTTAGGGTTTAGGGCTTAGGGTTTAGGGTTTAGGGTTTAGGGTTCAGCGTTTAGCGTTTAGGGTTTAGGGTTTCGGGTTTCGGGTCCGAGGCATCATCCATGACCAGGGCACAGCGATACCCCACAGCATCCTCAGCCGCTCGTCATGTTTTGGGGTTTGCAGGGTTTAGGGTTTAGGGTTTAGAGTTTAGGGTTTAGGGTTTAGGGGGTAGGGTTTATAATTTAGGGTTTAGGGATACTCTTCGCTTAAGAACCTAATCCCTGTATTGCCCTTACAAGGAAGTGTTTTTTTTTTTTTTTTTTGGGGGGGGGGTTCTTTAGCAAGTCGTAGTTTGGGATTTAGGGTTTAGGAGGGATAAGTGCGGGTTTTCAGTGTTTAGGGTTTAATTAGGGTTTAGGATTTAGCTTTTTAGTGTTTAGGGTTCAAGGTTTGGGGTTCAGGGCTTAGGGTTTAGGGTTTAAGGTTTAAGGTTTAGGGTTTAGGGTTTAGGGTGCCTTGTTAGCAGGCCGTTCTGGCGCTTGTTGTGCTCAGAACCCACAGCGCGCACAGCGATCCGTTCGCGAGCCCATTTACCCCCAATCCCCCACTCCCCCCACCCCCCCCCTAATCCCTAAAACCCTAAAACCCGAAATCCTCAACACCGAACCCTCGACATTGAAGGAACTGGACCACACTCAGCCACTCTGAAACCTTGAGCCCTAAACCCTAAACCCTAAACCCTAAACCCCTAAACCCTAAACCCTAAACCCTAAACCCTGGAAGCACACTCCCCCAACCGACCAACACACCCGCCCGTAAGCCCTACAACCTACCTGAAGGCTCAAATGTAGTTCCTTTTTGGTTTAGGGTTTAGGGTTTAGGGTTTAGGGTTTAGGGTTTAGGGAGGATTTTAGTATACTACCCCAAAAAGGTACTACATAGGAGCCTTTGGGTAGACTCTGCAGACCCCAATCCCCACACCCTACAAGCCCCAAGCCCCAAACCCTGAACCTTGCAAACGCAAAACCCCAAACCCTAAACGCTACACCCGAAGCCCTACACCCGACGCCGTAAACCTCACAAACCCTGCGCCCCACACCCTAAACCTTACAAACCCAAACCCTAAACCCCAAACCCTAAACCCTAAACCCTTCAAACAGGCGACCTCGGGCTGGGCGAGCAGTCGGAGGCCAGAGAAAAGTAACACGAAGGACAGGTTTAGCGTCTATAGGGTTAAGGTTCAGGGTTCAGGGTTTAAGGTTTAGGGTTAGGGTCTATAGGGTCAAGGCGTATAGGATTTAGGGTCAGGGTTTAGGGTTCAGGGTTTAAGGTTTCGCGTCTATATGATTCAGGGTTTGGTGTTGTTTTGGAGTGTGAGGTTGACGGTCCGGAGGGTAGTGTGTGGGGGGTTAGTGTCTCGAGTTTGGGGCTTGGAGTTCGTTCAACGGATGAAGACTCGTACCCCTAAGGTTGCGCCCCGAAAGGTTCCCTTGTAACCCTAAACCCTAAACCCTCAACCCTAAACCCTAAACCCTAAACCCTAAACCCTAAACCCTAAACCCTAAACCCTAAACCACGAAGGACCTTTAAAAAGAGTCCGCAAAGCTTAAGGCTACAAGCTTAAGGGTCCAAGGCTACAACCCCTCGATGTCTGTAGGGCTCAGGATGCGCGTGGCGCCTTTGGAACTTCGCTCTTGGAGTTGAGGGGTTTAGGGTTTTAGGGTTTAGGGTTTAGGGTTTAGGGTTTAGGGTTTTAGGGTTTAGGGTTTAGGGTTTAGGGTTTTAGGGTTTTAGGGTTTAGGGTTTTAGGGTTTTAGGTTTTAGGGTTTTAGGGTTCTAGGGCTTTCGGGTTTTAGGGTTTTAGGGTTTTAGGGTTTTAGGGTTTTAGGGTTTAGGGTTTTAGGGATTAGGGTTTAGGGTTCAGGGTTCAGGGTTTAGGGTTGAGGGTTTGAGGGCTCATTAGGGCTTTTGATGAAAGTTAGGGTTCGGCGTTTAGGACGAGGTTTGGAGCTTGGCTGTCGGGTTAGGAGGGTTTAGGACTTTCGTTTCCAAAACACGAAGCATCAAGTCGGGTCTTAGGCCCTCTCAGCCCCCCAGCCCTGCACGCCAAAAAACCCAGACCCCGAACCCCAAACCTTTGAAACTACTAACCCTAAAGCCTAAAGCCTAAACCCCAAACCCTAAACCCTAAAGCCGAAACCCCAACCATCAACCCCAAAAAGTCACATGACAAAACTTGAGCAGGCCACACACAGCCTGAAAACAAAAAAACAATCTTTCGGGTTTAGGGTTATGGGTTTAGGGTTTAGGGTTTAGGGTTAAGCCCCAGACCCTGCACCCCGAAACTGAAGCCACTAATTCATGCCAAGTTGATGTTGATGGAAGGGTTTAGATTTTAGGGTTTAGGGTTTAGTGTTTAGGGTTTGGGGTTTAGGGTTTAGGGTCTAGGAAACCTTGACTTGAATTCCCTGCGTATTTCCGAAGTCCCGGGGGAGCAGGGTTCGGACTAAACCCTAAACCCTAAACCCTAAACCCTAAACCCTAAATCCTAAACCCTAAACCTCTGCCCTTGCGAGCTTGCTTGGGCGAAGTGAGAGTGGATTGGGCGTCGGATAAGCACATCTTGAACTTCCCCAGCTGGTCTTCTGCTATGCCTGTTGGCTGTGCACTTGTCGTCGAGACAACCGGTACACCCTAAACCCTAAACCCTAAACCCTAAACCCTAAACCCCTAAACCCTAAACCCTAAACCCTAAACCCTAAACCCTAAACCCCTAAACCCTAAACCCTAAACCCTAAACCCTAAACCCTAAACCCTAAACCGCTCTGGCCACCGATGAGGCCATCGTGTGCAACTCTTCCTTGTCAGAGTTGGCCGCTTCACCCCGCATCTGGAGGGAGAGGGGAGCGGTTTAGGATTTAGGGTTTAGGGTTTGGGGTTCAGGTTGTTTTAGGGGCCCAGGGTTCCGAGGTCCATATTTGGAGAGGCTCGTGCGCTCTAGGGTTTAGGGTTTTGGCTTAGGATGTGGGGTTCAGAGTTTAGGGTTCAGGGTTCAGGGTTTAGGGTTTAGGGGATCGTTAGGAGTAGGGTTCTAGGCGTCCAGAAGCCCCCAATTTCCCGAGCAGTTCCCAGTATAGTTGCTCTACGTGCAAACTCGGCGTGAGCTAGCGCTTCGGCTACAAGCCCACTTGTACCCAAGACCCTAAGCCCTAGTAGACGCTCAACTTCCCCAAGCTGGCTACTTCTTAGTAGGGCATGAGGGCATGAGGTACCCTGTATAATCCCTTAAAGGAAGTATACAAGGCCCTAGTACTAAGATCCAGGGAGTAAAGCCGCAGCCGACAATCTGGAAGCCTCGATGCTGCAAACCTTGTGGTTGAGGTCCACCGGCTTGTCTGTCAAATCTCAGCTCTCTCTATCAGGGAATCGGTCGAATCAAGGCTCACATGAGTTCTCACTGCTAGCGATGCAGATTTCAGATCTTGCAAAATTGAAGTTTGAGTGAATTGGAGATATTTTCTCATGTGTTTTGTCTCTCTCTCTCTCTCTCTCTCTCTCCCTGCCTCCTCCCTGCCCGATCGAAGCCCTCGAGCCTCACAAACCCGCACCCCCCCCTCCCCCCCACCCTTACACTCCTACACTCTAAACCTATTGGTTCTTAGTAGGGAGTGAGGGATTTTTAGGTACCGTACCGTATATCCCCCTACCCTATATATGCCTCTCAGGATTACAGAGGGCACCTCCTTCCCGCATCCCTACTACGAACCGATAAGAAGCCCCAAACCCCAAACCCCAAACCCCAAACCCCAAACCCCAAACCCCAAACCCCAAACCCCAAACCCCAAACCCCAAACCCCAAACCCCAAACCCTAAACCCTAAACCCTAAACCCTAAACCCTAAGAAAGTTGCAACAAGAGGCCATCCTGGGATTCGAGTACGGCTACTCCCTGGAGGAGGGGGCTGGCCTGGCCCTCACCATGTGGGAGGCCCGGGGCGTGAAACCCCTTAGAAATGGGCAGTTTCTCTAAGTTAGGGTTTTGCGTTTAGGGTTTAGGGTTCAGGGTTCAGGGTTTAGGGTTTAGCGTTTAGGGTTTTAGGTTTAGGGTTGCTTACCAATTGCTTAACAACCCCTCCAAAAAATAGAAATGTTCTTCCTTGTAAGGGCAATATAGGGATTATTTTTGTTATCTACTTGTTGGGGGCTCCGAAGCAACTAGTACATGGGCAGCTCTCTAAGTCAGGGTCCCTTGTTGGGCCCCCGGTAATAGCACGGCACCCTTGAAAGAAAAAGGCTCCCCGAAAGGGACCCTAAAAAGAAGAGGATTTGGGCAACCCTCAGACCCCCAAGTCCCTGGACCCTCAAACCCTAGCCCGATGCCGCAGGCGCAGTTTGGCGACTTCGCCAACTCTGCGCAGCCCATCATCGACAACTTCGTGGCGAGCGGGGAACAGAAGTCGGTACCCTCAGTTCCACCAGGAAGCTGCCAGGGTATAGGGTTAGGGTTTAGGGTTTAGGGTTTAGGGTTTAGGGTTTAGGGTTTAGGGTTTAGGGCTAGGGTTTAGGGTTTAGGGCTAGGGTTTAGGGAACCCTACTGCTATCGGGATTGGGGCCCAGGCCCTGACCTCCGACCGCCGCACTAGACCACAGACCCAAGGGTCCTCCGTAAACCCGCCCCACCCCTCTGGAAAGTCCACACCCCTAAGCCCTAAGCCCTAAACCCTAAACCCTAAACCCTAAACCCTAAACCGCAGTCTGGGACCTAGGTCTCTTTTCTTGTCGGGTGTCCTTTTTTGCGGGGTACTTCAGTGCACATTCTAGGCTTAGGGTCTTAAGGTTCTGGGGTGTAGTTCCGACATCCCGAAATCCTCACCTCAAGAGCCTAGGGTTTAGGGTTTAGGGGGTTTGGGGTTTCCTCTGAGGGTTAGTGATATGGTCCCTGAATATGGCCCCTTGCTTTCTTGAAAGGGTTCTGAAGTCTGGGCCCCTGAGCGGATCTGTGACAAGAAGGGCCCCCTAGGCCCGAGGCTGAGTCCCATGACTGTCAATCATGGGCTTCCCTACTACCCCCACTCTACTCCCCCCCCCTAGGTTCCCGCCTTAAATACCCTCAACTAACCTTAAGTAGCCTTAAACGGCCTTAATTATGGGGGAACCTAGGGGCGAGTAGTATAGAGGGGGGTAGTAGGGGAACCCCTGAGACAAGGTGGGGAAACTGCAGCAACCTCGTCATGCTCCTGCCCCACGGTTTGGAGGGTCAGGCCGGAGTTCTTTGGTTGTGGGTTTAGGGTTTACGGTTTAAAGCTTAGGGTTTAAAGCTTAGGGTTTAAAGCTTAGGGTTTAAAGTAGTTTAGGGTTAAGGGTGCAGGAGTTAGGGTTTAGGGTTTAGGGGTTCGGGTTTAGGGTTTAGGGGTGTCAGGTTTATGGTTGCATGGCGTCTCTTGGGTCGATCGACCAAGTAGGGCAACTGACATGTTTGAACTGGCTGTAGGCCTTCGTTAAATCAACGAACAAGCCTCCGTATAGCCAGCATGAACCTTCATGTCAGAGACCCCCCTCTCCGCCTGCCTACTTGTTCCGCAGGCTACTGTTGTGAACGCCCTTACAAGGCTCAGATTTTAGGCTCTTATGGCGGGATCGCTGACTTCAAAATTATGGACTGCTTTTGAGTTTTCCTAAGCCCCTTTAAGCCCGAAGCCTTAGATACTGGGCCTAGCTTTCTGGGAATATGGGTTTGGGGTTCAAAGGTTTAGGGTGTTCGGAATCAGGGTTGGGCTTTGTATTTACAGGTTTTGAAATCCTTCAGACTGGTACTGTGCCGTTTTGCACAGATCGGTTTGCCCGTAAAGGCACTTTTCCTATGTGTTAGTCCCATAGCAACCCCAAAAGACTTCACCAACAATGCCAGAAGCGTTCCAGCAAAAGGCCTCATTACAAGGGTCCTGGCACACAGGCTCTTCGCTCCAAATGATCTTCGAAGTCGATGGCTCCAAACCCTAAACCCTAAACCCCAAACCTTAAACCTTGAACCCCAAAACCCTAAACACCAAATCTTAAACCTGGAGCCCTAAACCTTAAACCCTAAACCCTACCCCTGAACCCTAAACCCTCAACCCTCAACCCTCAACCCTCAACCCTCAACCCTAAACCCTAAACCCTAAACCCTAAACCCTAAACCCTAAACCCTAAACCCTAAACCCTATAGGAAGGATGTTGTTGCTGCAGGGCCCCGAGCATTCCTCGGCGCGGCCGGAGCGCTTCCTGCAGCTCGTGGACGAGGCCCCGCTGCCAGGGTTTGAAGGCTTTGCAGGAATTAGGGTTTAGGGTTTAGGGTTTAGGGCTAGGGTGTAGGGTTTAGGGTTTAGGGTTTAGGGTTTAAGGTTTAGGGTTTAGGGTTTAGGGTTTAGGGTTTAGGGCTTAGGGTTTAGGGTTTAGGGTTTAGGGCTTAGGGTTTAGGGTTTAGGGTTTAGGATTTAGGGTTTAGGGTTTAGGGTGGTTTAGGGTTTAGGGATTTAAAATGGGGTTTAGGGTTTAGGGTCTAGAGTTTAGGGTTTAGAGCGTAGTTTAGGGTAGGGGGGGGGGGGGGGGGGATACCTAGAATACCCCACCACCCCTCCCGCAAAGATCATCATCCTCTTCACAACAACAATCCCCCCCCCTTTCAAACTGGCAAATAAACACCCGCACCCTGAAACCTGAGTCCCATTCCAAAATTACTATCTGCTTTAGGACCCCCCAAAAAATATGTGTAATATATATTTATATATAGATATAACAATAGTAATAATGATAATAATAATACTAATAGTTATAATAATAGTAATAATAATAAAAGTAATAATGATAGAAAAACAAACAAAAAATGAAGAAATCAAAGAACAAAAAATACTAATAATTGAAAAAATCAAAAAAGTCAACAAATGACAGTAATCCTATATTGCCTTTTTGGGGGCTCTAAAGCAAACAGCAGGAGAAAAAAAGAACACAAAGGATTCCCAGACTCCAAACCCCAAGGCCTCGCCAAGCCACCTTGCAGGGCTTAAAGAGGGTTTTGTGGGGTTTCGGGTTTAGGGTTTAGGGTTTAGGGTTAAGGGTTCAGGGTTTAGGGTTTAGGATTTCGGGTTTAGGGTTGAGGGTTCATTTTCTAGCCTGGGGCCTGAAGGCATTGGGTTTTGGGCTGCGAAGGGTTTAATTCTTTCCAAGCCCTAAACCCTAAAAAGGGGGTTTAGGGATGGAGCAGGGGTTTCGGGTTCAGGGCGTAAATAAATTTGGGGTTGGAAGGGTTCTGGGTTTAAGGGCTGGCATGGTCTAGGCTTTAGGGTCTAAAGTTTGGTGTTTAGGGTTGAGGGTTTAGGGTTGAGGGTTTAGGGTTTAGGGTTTCGGGATGTTTAGGGATGTTTAGGGGGTTCAGGGCCTTACTTACAACCTCGCGCTTGCGCAGGACCCAAACGTCCTGTGGCCGGCGGAAACCAGTGAGCTCGAAGAGCAGACGAAGCCAGCTGGCTCATTGTGAGCCCCTTAAACCCTACACCCTAACCCTAAACCCTAAACCCTAAACCCTAAACCCTAAACCCTAAACCCTAAACCCTAAACCCTAAACCCTAAACCCTAAACCCTAAACCCTAAACCCTAAACCCTAAACCCTAAACCCCCTAAACCCTAAACCCTAAACCCTAAACCCTAAACCCTAAACCCTAAACCCTAAACCCTAAACCCTAAACCCTAAACCCTAAACCCTAAACCCTAACCCTAAACCCTAAACCCTAAACCTTAAACCGTAAGCTCCCAACGGCGCCGTAAACCCGAAAGTCCCCCAAAGCCCCACCCCCCGAAATTCATTCAACAGAAGTACATTTCCCTCCAAACCCCTACTTAGAGGTTCTTACAAAAGTATCATGTTGGACATATGCTTATAACCTTTAAGCCCTATAAGCCTGAACCCTTGGCAGTCCTCAGATCAGAGGTCAAGATGGTTGATCCAGAGCCCGAAACAGTAAACCCTAAACCCTAAACCCTACACCCAAAACCCCAAAACCTAAACCAGTAGTGGCTTAAAGTGGAGGTTCACGTCTTCTTCCAGCTTAGGCCATGGTTTTTGGTAGCAAAAGATATAGGTTGCTAGTCATTTGCTTCGGGTGGGTGGGTGGGGGAGATTGGTACTTAAACCCCGGCTTCTTACTACCCATGTACCTCCAAGTAGCAAACCCGGAAGCCTAAGTGCCTAAACCCTCAAAGCGCAAGCCCCTATGCAAATTCAAAGGCCCTAGAACCTTAAACCCCATTAATACCCTAAACCTTTAAAAACCCTTAATGCCTAAACCCTCAGACCCTCAACCCTAAAACCCTAAACTCCCTAAAATCCCTAAACTCCTTAAACTCCCTAAACCCTCAAACCCTAAACCCTCAAACCTTAAACTCCCTAAACTCCCCAAACCCCCTAAAACCGCCAAGAGTACGAGGATCCAGGCCCGCGAGGCCGTGGCGAACACCCTGGAAGCCACCGCCACGGGGGACGCGGCTGGCTTGAACCACGGATTGCTAGGGCCTTTTCCTTAAGGATCCATGTACCTATATATAGGGTTTAGGGGTTTGAGCTTAGTGTTTAGGCTGCAGGCTTTACGGATCCATGTACCTATATATAGTATGTACTTGGGCCTTTAAAGGGGTTCCTACGTTGGAGCTTCAGGGCTCAAGTGTATAGCATGCGGGTATACGGATTGTCAGGGTTTTTTAGCAGTTGTTTTTGGCAGGGATGCTTTTCGGCCGCCGTGTGTGAGGGTTCTCGAGGGTGGAGTGGGGGCTCTTAAACCCTAAATTAGCGTTTAGGGCCTAAGGGCCTAAACTCTAATCCAGGCTTAGCGCCTAAACTCTCATCCATGATGTAGCGGCTAGACTCCTAACCCAGGGTTTAGCGTCTAAACTCTATTCCAAGGCTTAGCGCCAGATATTTTCATGTGATGAATCTCTTTGAATATCTAACCTGCATTTACAGGGAACGCCGTTCGAGAGAGGGACTATTGGGGCTCGGCGTTTAGGATTTGTTGTTGTCGTATGTTTTGTCGCGTGAAAAGAAGTAAAAACATTCACGTTTTAATGTTCGGTTGCGGGGGGCTACCAAGCCATGCAAGCGCGCGATAGGGTGCGCCGCTAAATCTATGAAATGGCGCACTCACCGCGCGCGAACGCTGATTCACAACCCTAACCCTAGAACCCGAAGCCGTAAAATCCTACGTACGACCCTAAACCCTTAAAGCCGAAACCGTTAAACCCTAAACCCTTAAGCCCCAAACCCCAAAGCCCTTAACCCCTAAACCCTGAACCCTAAACTCTGAAACCTTAAACCCTCTGGCTCTTGTGTATTACGGCTTTGGGCTTCAGGGTTCGTGGGGCTACTTGCCTCGATCTTTAGGGCTGCTGCGGTTCAGGCTTTTGCATTTTAGGGGCTTCTGGTCTGTGCTAAGCCCTGCAGCCCCTAAACCCTCAACCCTCAACCCTAAACCGTAAACCCTAAACCCTAAACCCTAAACCCTAAACCCTAAACCCCAAACCCTAAACCCTAAACCCTAAACTCCCTCAGACCTAGACCCGTTAAGCCCTAACTTGATGCACCCCTCAAATAAGGGTCGCCCATGCTGTAGCTCTAGTTAACCTGCCATAGAAGCCCTCAGGGCCCAAAAACCTCAGACGCAAAACCTGGACCCTAAACACGAAACCCTAAAGCTTAAACCCTATAAACCTTAAACCCTAGCTTTAAACCCTAAACCCAAAGCCCTACATGAGATCGAGCTGAGGCCCAGGCCGTCGAGCGCAGCGTAAGGCGACTGGCTGTGTTGCAGGCCTTGGGGGGCGTGGAACCAGGGTGAGAAAGCCCTTAAAACCCCTAAAACCCTTATAGCCCATTAATTACCCTTAAAGCCCTTAAAGCCCTTAAAACCCTTAAAAACCCATCATTTCCTCCTAAAAACCCTCAAAACCCTTAAAACCCTGAAACTCTAAGAACCCTTAAAAACCCCTTCAGAGGCCTTAAAACCTTAAACCCGGAGGCCCTGGGTTGCTCAGTCGGATTGTCCTCGTAGTTTCGTAGCCATATTGCCAGAAGGGCACCCTTTTTTGGGGTTGGATATTTTTTCAGGGAAGCCGTAGCCAACAACAAAGGGTAAAGGGTACTACTGGGCTACCAAGTTTTTCAAGTTCAGGTTTTCGGTTCGGGTTTCATTGTAACAAGTGTGAAAGGTCTCTGGCCCCAATCTCCAGTTGACCCTATCAACGCTGGCAGCCGCATCGACCCCAGGCTGTGGCGGTATCGTTCTCATCCGCAGTCGTCTCGGCCAGTGTGGTCTTAGTGACACGGCAGCAGGCCCGACGACGAAGCTGGCACCATTGCTGCAGCCTCTCTTTCAAATCTGACGATCGCAGATTGGAAAGAGAGAAGGCAACAAACTCAGCCTCCACCTCCGTCCACTCCTTTTTCTTCGGCATGGCGACAGATGGCGCCAGGCTCGCACGTTCGTCACATGGTGGGTGTCGGGAAATGACCACGGCAGAGACACCCCGGTGCCAGCACCTGACATTTGGACGCCGCCGGCAGGCTTCAGCATGCGCTTCCCTACCACTGCGGAAGGCGTCCTGGCATGTTCAGGGTATGACTATGACGTGAGCCCCGATCACCATCAGGTCTAAGTCCCACTATTTAGATTTGACGGCGGGTGGCGGGTCTGATTGTTGCTCCCGGGCTTCCGAGCGTGAGGCCTTTGCGAGGCCTTGTTTGGAAGGAAGCTTGAAGGCGTGTTAGGGTTTCGGGTGGATTTAGGTGCTGGCTTCTGAGTTGTGCTCGTCACGAATGTGAGACTTGGGTGGGTACTACTGCGTATGAAGGGCCATGATGCCTATGCACCCAAGTGCCAGCAAGGTTTAGGGTTTAGGGCCTGTTGCCAGGAGAGCTTCGAGTACCACCGGAACATAATGGTGGCGCAGCTGGGTCGTGATTCAACAGACAATTGAGCCTCTGCCCTTAAACCCTAAGCCCTTAACCCCCAACTCCCCCACGCCCGGCATGCACACCGGCGTACCTACCTAAACCCTAAACCCTAAACCCTGAACCCTAAACCCTGAACCCTGAACCCTAAACCCTAAACCCTACACCCTAAACCCTAAACCCTAAACCCTAAACAGCAGGTTCCCGCCCTGACCTTGAGCCCACCAAACACACCAAAATGAATCCCTGCTTCTTTAGTGAACCTCTTGGCCAGGTGGCATCGTGAAAGCCCTGGATCCCCATATTTAGGGTTTGGGGGGAAGCCTATACCCTTCCATGCCCTAGAAGAAGGTTTAGGGTTTAGGGTTTAGGAAGTTTAGGTTTTAGGGTCACTAAGGTTTTTGTTTCTTGAAGTTTAAAGTTCCGGGTGTCTGGATTTGGCTCAAGGTTCCCTTATAAAGTAACCAACCCAAAAAAAGGGTGCCTTCATTTTAATATGGTTCTTGGGCTACCAAGATATAGGCTCGTGAAGCCCATGCTGGTTGCACGGAGTCCGAGGTACATCACGACGCCAGCCAACCTCTTCCACGTACTGCGGAGGCATCGGCTCGGCATGTCCAGTAGTACCCTTATTTAGGTTTTACCCTAAGCCCTAAGCCCTAAACCCTAAACCCTAAACCCTAAACCCGAAAGCCGTATTCCGAATTCCTCAACCTTAAGTGTGGCATTCCCAGTGGGGCCCTTTTTCCTTTTTTTTTTGCAAGGGCTTGGGGAGGAGGTGAGAGCTAGATTTAGGCTGCAGAACTTGAGTGCGTTTGGCGTTCAGGGTTTAGCGTCTGGGGCGCAGGGTTCATATTATTCGGTTCAGGGTCCAGGGGTTAGGGTTTAGGGTACAGGGTCTAGGGTCAGTATAGAGAGTTTGGGGAATTCAGGGTTTGGGGCACTTGGTGTTCATGTTTAGGGGGCCAGTGCTGGTGTTGCGTCGAAGAGAGGACCCAGTTTCCTTGAAATCCCATTGCGCAGGGAACCTTACATATGCAGACCCCTCAACCCTAAACCCTAAAACCTAAACCCTAATCCCTAATCCCTTAAATCTAGGCCTAAACCCGAAACCCGAGAGGGAAAACTCGCAACCCGAAGAACTGGCGAGGCAGGTCCACCGCACCTTCGCGCGGGGCTCGGCCAGGAGTGAAGTTCTTGGGCTTTTGGGGTTGGGGGTTTTGGGTTTAGGGTTTAGGGTTTAGGGTTCAGGGTTTAGGGTGTTTAGGGTGTTTGGGGTTTAGGGTTTAGGGTTTGGTTTTGGTTCAGGGTTCAGATGGTTTAGGGGTTTAGGGTTCAGGGGGTTTAGGGTTCAGGGGGTTTAGGGTTCAGGGGGTAGGGGGTTAGGGGCTTAGGGTTTAGGGTGTTTAGGGTGTTTGGGGTGTTTGGGGTGTTTGGGGTTAGGGTTTAGGGTTTCTTTGGGTTTAGGGTTCAGGGTTGGGATATTCCCCCCTCCACTAACAGTCCTTAGTAGGGAGTGTAATAGGGGTACTATACTCTGTAATAAGAGCTGTTAGTACAAGGGGAAACATCCCAAGTTCCGGGTGTATCTTGGAGTTCGACAGCATGTCGGGTTCAGGGTTGAGGGCTGCGCGGGTTGATGGGGGTTTCGGGCCCACCTTATCTGCAGCAACCTGTATGCTCTCCGAAAGAACGGATCTACAAGATATTTCCCGAAGTTGAAGTGAAGGTTATGTTCACCCTCTTGGGGGTGTATCGGTTACTCTTGTTAAGGCTCAGGTCAAGCTACTTTTTGGCTGGCCATGGCAGATGCGCCAGTCAGACAGCAAACCGTCTTGCAACACTCTCGGGAAGATCGCAAGTGACCCTGAGGGTCCATGTACATCAATATTACATACTTTGGCTTCAAAGTACTTCCTATATAGGGACGTTGGGGCCCAAGCATATACTAATGAGGTACATGGACCCTTAGGGTGATCGTAAGACCTCAGCTCAGGGTGCACAGCCCTAGACAAAAAATCTTCAACCTAAAGCCCTCCCCTTGGGGACTTCAGGTTTAGGTGCGACGGTTCATGGCCGCACTCAAGCTTCTCTGCCGTTATATTCCTAGAGTGATAGAACTTCCCCTAAACCCGAAACTTTAAACCGTCAATTAAGCCCTAAACCCTAAACCCTAAGCCCTAAACCCTAAACCCGAAACTTTACACCCTCAACTAAACCCCACACCCCCAAACCCTAAATCCTCGGCCCTAAACCGTAGTCGAGGCCAAGCCACTCGTCTTGATGTCGGCGAAGTATTTGCTCCACCACAGGCTTGGCCTTCTTTGGCTCACTGGGTTCCAAAGACCAGGGTTTGGGTCTGTGGTTCAGGGCTCTGCATCCAGGTTTGTTTTCGGAGTGTCGGTTTAGGGTTTAGGGTTTAGGGTTTAGGGTGAGGGCTTAGGCTTCAGGGCTTGGGGGGGGGGTTCTTAGGGGTGGCTTAGGGCCTCGGGTTCGGGGTGTCGGACTTACTGTAGGGTGAGGGTTGATAGGGGACTGGAAGCTGCTAGGTCCTGCGTGAGTTCGCAGGGTCCTGGACCCCCCCCCCCCCAAAACTACAAAAAACACATAGCTAAATAAAGATAAAAAAAGCAATGAGCGTAAATTCCCTAAATCCTACACCCTAAACCCTAACCCTAAACCCGAAACCCGAGAACCCGAAACCCTACTTTGTAGGCACGGCCCACATGCCCGCGGCAGGCCATGCCGGTCCCCTTTGGCACACCTCGCCTCCGGAACGCGCTTCCAGCGCGTCATCCAGGAAACCGAAGTCCTTCGAGGGCGGTTTAGGGGTTTAGGTGTTTAGGGTTTCGGGTTTTTGGTAAGGGGTTTAGGGGTTTAGGGGTATAGGGGTTAGGGGTTTAGGGGTTAGGGGTTTTAGGGGTTTTAGGGGTTTAGGGGTTTAGGGGTTTAGGGGCTCAGGGGTTTAGGGGTTTAGGGATTCAGGGGTTTAGGGGTTTAGGGGCTTAGGGGTTTAGGGGTTTAGGGGTTTAGGGGCTTAGGGGTTTAGGGGTTTAGGGGTTTAGGGGTTTAGGGGTTTAGGGGTTTATGAAGCGGTCGTCGGACGATCCAGGCGAGACAGACGCACGGATCCCTGCTCCAAGCTCTCTCCTCGTTGAGTTAATTATGAATTACGGGCCAGTCTACGCCGAGCGTAATACCGAGCCCACGTAACCTTGGGACTAACGACAGGTGTTGGACAATCAACAGGATCTCGGGGAGGCTGAAAGGGAATAGCCAGCGCCCGACTGTACCGTCTGTGTGCCCAAAAAATATCTGACAGCTTCCCGACATCAGCCCGCACTGTACAAGGGGCAATGCAAATCGACGGGACCTCTTCGTTAACACCCCAATGAGCAAGGGACTTGGTCCGGGACATTGGGAAATCAATGGCAGCTTCTTTGAACATGAACCGTACGATGCTTCCAAACACATTTAGCTGCTTGGAAAGCAAAGGTCTGCACATTTTCAGCTGGGGATACTCCGTTTCATGCAGAAAACAAGCGGTTACGTCAGCGACCAGCCCAAGAGGCAGTTGTTGAGGCTTCCAGCTGGCCACGTTCACTGGGGATAACCAACCAGTAACCCTCACAAAATGCAAATAAAAAGCTCTAAGAGACTAACCCAAGACTCGGTTTTGCACCAAGACTGCTCCAAACAGTACTCACGGAAAACCTGGCAGAACCGAGGTCCAAGCAAAGCGCAAGACACTTCAACCCCACCTAAGCCCTGAACCGAAAAGGGGGATGCCGGCAGCAATGGAGGACAAGCAGGCACTTCACACCTGGATTGTTCTTGCCTGGCTGGCATGCTGGGGCTTTTTGAGTTGAGGGTTGCAGTGCACAGGATGTGCTCTTGCAACTGGAACACCAGTTTTGCTTGGAGGATTTGCTCCGTCAAGGTCCGCCGTGCCTTTTGAAGCAATGAAAGTGTAGCTGCATCTTGCACATGAGGGGTTTAGGGGTTTAGGGGTTTAGGGGTTTAAATTCCCAATCCTACATCGACTGTGCCACCTGCTGGGAAATCCTAAGGCGCCTCACAAGCCCTTCAGGGTTCAGGGTTTAGGGTTTAGGGCTTAGGGTTTGGGGTTTAGGGCTTAGGGTTTAGGGTTACAAAATCCCTGCAAGAGAACCTAGGCGGTTCGGGGGGTTTTAGCTTGCTTCTCTCTAGTTGTGAACGGGCACATGCGGGCATCATGGGTCCAAGACGTCGTTTGAGCACGGCGGCGCTTCTTAGGGTGTAGGGTGTAGGGTTTAGGGTTTAGGGTTTAGGGTTCAGGGTTTAGGGTTTCGGGTTTAGGGTTTCGGGTTTAGGCACCTGCGCCTACACTTTCACCTCCCTAAAGTCCCCTGAAGCCATGTCCCAAAACACCTTCTGAAGCCAGATGTCGCCCGAAGCCAGAAATACAAACCTCCCAAGATTCCGATTGTTCACTAAACCTTAAACCCATCTAAACCCTAAACCCCTAAACCCCTAAACCCCTGAACCCCTGAACCCCTAAACCCTAAACCCTAAACCCTAAACCCCAAACCCTAAACCCTAAACCCTAAACCCTAAACCCTAAACCCTAAACCCTCTAAACCCCAAACCGCAGGAAGGAGGTAGTGGCGACAACATGACCACCGAGGAGCCGCCAAAGCCCTACTAGGACCCGTTCCCCCTTTTTGTAGGGTTCAGGTTCCCTAGGGTTTAGGGTTTAGGGTTTAGGGTTAGGATTTAGGTTATGTTGCTTGGTGGTCTCTTTAAGTAGCGTTTCTGGTTTTTGTATGGGGTTCTTCTCAGGGTATCTAGGGGCCATTTTAAGGCATAAGGGTAGCAGAGACAGAGGCCACCGGCCCTTATAAGGTTTAGGGTTTAGGGCTTAGCCTCTTGAAAACCAAGAAGGGCGCGCTTTTTTATTCCAGAGGTTCCTCTTGGGTCTTTCCCGCCCAGAAAAAAACCTTTAGGCTGAGCTGGGGCGAGCTGAATGTAACTTGTGGTGGTTTTCAACTCTGCTGTTCCGCTCAGACCCGTCCCTAAAATCCTAGCACCCTAAACTACCAGGGAACCCTGAACACTCCATTTTCTTGCAGTCAGGATCCCTGTAAAGGGTCACGAGTTTTCATATACGAGGGATCTAGGGTGATAGGGTTCCGGTCAGAAGGAATTCGGTGTTAACAGCTCTCATAAAGGGGCCCCTGCTTTCGAAGAGCCCCTCTGTAGAAAGGGTGCTTTGCTAGTTTTGACCTACCAGGTAGGTTCACAACTCAAACCCTAAACCCCAAACCCTAAACCCCAAACCCTAAACCCTAAACCCTAAACCCTAAACCCTAAACCCCCAACCAGCCTCCAAGTGCTTACCATGTTTTTCCAAGACCCTCATAAACCTTCGTAGAGCCCGCCGTTGGGATTACTTCCCCCCCCCCCCCCCCAAAGAAAGCGAGCAAGCCAAAAAAGCAATCGCATAAGTAAAAGTCCAGTACTAAGCCTCAATGAAAAGGCAACTACACTGACAACCTCCCTAAACCCTAAACCCGAAGCCCTAAACCCTAAACCCTAAACCCTAAACCCTAAAAACTAAATCCTACACCCTAAACCCTAAACCCCAAAAGCTAAACCCTACACCCTACACCCTACACCCTACACCCTAAAGCCTAAACCCGAAACCCTAAACCCTAAACCCTAAACCCCAAACCTGGCTTGGGAGGCGCCTGAGGTGAGCTGCAAGCGGCTCATCTTCTGCAGCGGGAAGGCGGGCTGGTAAGACTTCTTTTCAGCAGCAGGAGAGGTTGTTTTGGGGTGTTTTGGGGTGTTTTGGAATGTTTTGGGGTGTTTTGGGGGTTTGGGGGGGTTTGGGGGGGTTTGGGGGGGTTTTGGGGGGTTTTTGGGGGGGTTTTGGGGGGGTTTTGGGGGGGTTTAGGGGGGGTTTTGGGGGGGTTTTGGGGGGGTTTAGGGGGGGTTCAGGGGGGGTTTAGGGGGGTTTAGGCGGTCTTAAACGCCATATCACAGCAAACCCTAAGCTTTCGGGTTCAGTGTTTAGGGTTTAAGGTTTAAGGTTCAGGGTTAAGGGATTAGGGTTTAAGGTTCAGGGCTTAGGGCCTAACATGTAAGGTTCAGGGTTGAGGGTTTTGGCCTACGCCCTAAGCCCGACGCGAGGTTTTCTACGAGCTGCACCACGCGCGGTGCGTGCGAGGCCTGGCGGGCCCGGGGGCCCAGCTTTCTCAATCCTGCTTGGAGGTTCATGGTACTTATGAACCAATCATAGCTGTGCTTATAACTGCACTTATAACCATCTTAGGCACTTGCGGGGCTTATAAGTGGGTTATCAGTACAGTTATAGTATCCCTAAAACCTAAACCCTAAACTTGCCCTAAACCCTAAATCAACCCGAAACCCTAAACCCTAATTGGTTAATAAATACCATGAACCTCCAAGTGAGGTTCCAGGGATGCTCAGGGGGTTCTGAAATGTAAGGATCCGAGCAGGAATGCGCAAGGTTCCTTAGGGATTTCGGGTTTAGGGTTTAGGGTTTAGCTTGGGAATAATTTGTTCATTGTTGGGCATTACAATTCCGAAGAGACAGCAAAAGTTGCAGTTTTTTGCTGGGGTTCCAAGTTCAGTATAGGTTCCGGGTTTAGGGTTTGGGGTTTAGGGTTTAGGGTTTGGGGCTGAAGGCATAGCAGGTTTTATGGGTTCAAGCTATAGGGTTTGGGGTTTGAGTTTGGGGGGCTTGCAAAGGTTGTGCCCGTACGAGCCTCAAGACGAGGCAAGGGTTGGCGGGGCGCGGCTGAGGACGTTCAGTCACATCAGACTGGAACCTGCAAGAAGATCTGCAGAAAACCCAAAGCTCAAAGCCCTCAACCCTCCCTAAATCCTAGATCCTCAAGAGCCTCATGAGAGGTCCACATCTGGATTTGGCGTGTATTCGTTGCTTTAAAGGTCTAGAGTTTAGGGCTCAAGGGGTTCGACTTAGGGGATTCGAAGGAGCGCCCAGAACGAGCCATTTCTACCTTCAACCCCCAGAACTGAAGGTGATCCCTACAAAGGCTCTGCAGGGGTTGGTGATGGCCGAACCCTGAAACCGAAACCATAAACCCCGAACCCCAGATCCCTAAACCCTAAGCCCTAAGCCCTAAGCCCTAAGCCCTAAACCCTAAACCCTAAACCCTAAACCCTAAACCCCTATACTATACTGACCCGAATCCCTAAGCCCTCGATCCGAGCCAGGCGTTGTGGCGTTGCAGCGGTTGGAGCAGGCGAGGCACCTTCCTGTAGGCTTAGGGCCCTGAAGTAACACACATCTGCTTACATGCCTTGTATAATTACATGTGACATGTGTATACTTAACTTACCTAGGTTCACAGGTCTTATTTTGTTAGACATGCATACTTGTATAATTGTGTTTTGTGCTCATCTTTCTGGCAGTTCCTTATCTTCTCCTACTTGGTGGTTTACGAACATAAGGGACACCCTGAATAGCACTCCACATAGTAGGATTCCCTTATAATAAGGACCCCAATGAGGTACCCACCCCCCCCCCCCCCCCCCCCCCCCCAATATCGTAGACCCCTATTTCCTATTTCCTAAATCCTAAACCCTAAACCCTAAGTGCCCCGCTTCAGGTTGCGCCTTTTCCTGCCATGTCGGTAGCCGCGCCTGGGCTCGTTGTAGGTCCCTTCTTCTTCTTCTTCTTCTTCTTGGAGGTTCATGGGTAGCTACAAAGGGTTTCGGGTTTAGGGTTATGAGTATCCTATGAAGGGTTATTATTAAGGGGTTATGTGTACCATAAACAAGGTTGTGATTCTGGTTTCCATGCTTAGAACCCTACCTCTAGCTGCCCATGAACCTCCATGTTGTAGGCCGCCTCGCAGCCTGAACTCTTTGGGCTTCAGGGCATAGGATTGCGGGCTTCGGGCGTGGGATTCATAGTCATCTCAGTTCATTGGCTTTTACTTAGTGACGGTTCAAGGCTTTTGGGCAAACCCTAAACCCTAAACCCTAAAACCGAAACCCTAAGCCCTAAACCCTGGGCCGAATTTTCTTGGAGGCCATTTCCTTGGGAGTTCCCTAGACTCAGTTTCGGCCCCCTCCTGGGCCGACCCCTGGGACCCTTCCTCGTAGCAATGATGAAGGCTGTTTCGTAGTTATCTCTGGCTGGTTCTTAGTAGGGAATGGGGAATGAGGTACCTACATACTCCCTTAAAGGGTATATATAGGACCCTAATTCCCTCATTCCCTACTAAGAACCAGCGGGAACTGAGTTGGTTTCGTTGTTGTTGGATCGCGTGTTCTGATGCGGCTGGTGTACACGATGGTGCATGTGTTGGCTATTGTTGACGTTGGTTTACTTGGATCGTCGACCCTATAAGCCCTAAACCTTAAAACCCTAAACCCTAAACCCTAAACCCTAAACCCAAAACCCTAAACCCTAAACCCTAAACCCTAAACCCTAAATTTAAGAGCCTCCGGCTCAAGCCGCCGACCCCGCTGGAGCATAGTTGAGAGGTCTAAGATCATCCCAGCCTGCTCGGCAGAGTTCTGTGAAACGTTTGGGGGGGGTAGGGGGTAGCACCAGGACAAGCTCAAGCCAAAAAGACAGGTGGGTGGGGGGTGGGGGGGGGGGGGTGGGGGGGGGGGGGTGGGGGGGGGTGGGGGGGGGGGTGGGGGGGGGGGGGGTTGGGGGGGGGGGGTGGGGGGGGGGTTTGGGGGGACGCTGATTTTGCTGAGGGCGGCCCTACCCCCCTGTGCTGAACTGTTTACGCTGTGCGGGTGGCGTGGTGCTCCACGAACAAATTGTGCCCGAACACCCCCCCCCCCCCCCCCCCCCCCCCCCCCGCGTTTTGGGGGTAAGGAGGGAACCAAATTCGGCGGACCCTAAACCCTAAACCCTAAACCCTAAACCCTAAACCCTAAACCCTCGGAGCAGGGGCTGCCATTTGACGTGGGCTGAGGTCGTGGCTGCACAGCATCCCGGGGCTGAGATGGTTTGGGTACAGGACCTTGCGAGGGACGGCGGTCTGGGCTTAGGGACTAGGGTTTTTTCAGTTTAAAGGGTGAGGGAAATATCAACATAATGAAGATAAATATCACTTTCTTGAGGGCATATAGGTTACTCTAGGTAGAGTTTAGGGGTTAGGTTCAGGGTGCTTCGGCAGACCCTTGGGATATTTCGTATTTGTTTAGGAGGATCTTATTTTGGAACCCAGGGCTTAGCTAAAAGGCCAGATGTTCAGATTCTGTCGGTAGTGCCTCAAGTCTGCACCTCAATCTGCGTCCCAGGCTCTCAAGCCGTCCAACACCAACAGCTCGGACACCCGCTAACCCAGTAGTGCCCGCATTCGCTCGTTTTTTTTGTCGTGGGACCCTTTATCAGCTCAAATTCTGCCAGCATAAGCCCCAAACTCCCCCACCCCTCCCCCTCCCCGCCTAATATATATATATATATATATATATATATATATATTTATATTTATATTTATATTTATATTTATATTTATATTTATAGGGTATATATAGTTGGAATGTTTCAGGCTCAACATCATGGAGGCCCATGTTTTTAAGCTAACCCTAAACCTAAACCCTGCCCCCCTGCGAAATCTACGTACCCTACTTTAGAGTCTTTTGTGCTGCGCCGAGGCCCTATGTCCCCTTCTCTTAGGACCCTAGTCTTGTTTCCTTCTCTGACACCACTAAAGTAGAGAGAGTGTCCTGACCACCGTAGACGTCTTGAGCTCAGCGTGCAGAGCTAAAATGGACCGCGCAGAAACCCTAAACCCTAAACCCTAAACCCTAAACCCTAAACCCTAAACCCTAAACCCTAAACCCTAAACCCTAAACCCTAAACCCTAAACCCTAAACGCCCCTAAACGCAGGAGGAGCCGATCAACATGGGGCCATGGTCCTACGTGGCCCCGCGCTTCGCCACGGCTTTGCGGGAGCTGAGTCCGGATCGCCAGGCCGAGGGAGTAGTCGGTTTAGGGTTTAGGGTTTAGGGTTTAGGGTTTAGGGGTTAGTACAAATCAGGGTTTACAGACTTTAGGGTTGACTGTTGAGGATTTCGGGCAGCGGAGGATTTGGATTCCTTGGGGATTTCGGGGTTTGAGGCTGGAAGTGGTGGTTAGGGTTGCTCAAAGGAACCTAACGGCTGTAGGGGGTCTACAGGTTGGAGGGTTAGGGGGATTTGGGGGGGTATTTCTTGAGTTCAGTGTTGGGTATAACTCCTCCCGTGCGGCCGAAAAGATTTTCACTAGGAGGAAGTGTGTACTTTCAGTTTCGCCCTGGAAGCTGCAAACCTCATTCTGTACTGCGGCCGGCACACATAGCATCCCGGGACGTATATCAGGGTTTAGGGTTTAGGGTTTAGGGTCTAGGGCAGCACAACATCAGCATCGACTTCACAAGACACCTACTGCCTAAGGAAAGGGTGAGATGCCTGCTATTCTTCTTCTCATTTAGGGTTTAGGGTTGGGATTTTGAATAGGGGGTACTACAATCCCCATTAAGGACTGTTAGAAAAAGGGGGAACATCCCAAGAACCCTAAACCCTGAACCCTAAACCCTGAACCCTAAACCCTGAACCCTAAACCCTAAACCCCACTGCTTCCCGCAGGAGCGGCCGCTGCGTTGCATTGCTCGGCCTGCGGCCGCCAGTGCGGCCTCGGGGGCTGCCAAAGCTGAGGGTTTAGGGTTTAGGGTTTAGGGCTTAGGGTTTAGGGTTTAGGGTTTAGGGTTTAGGGTTTAGGGTTTAGGGTGGGTTTAGGGGTTTGGGGGTTTAGGGTTTAGGGGTTTAGGAGTTTAGGGGTTTAGGGGTTTAGGGGTTTAGGGGTTTAGGGGTTTAGGGGTTTAGGGGTTCTTGTACACTATTTGCTTAAGAAACCCGAAAAAGTCATCCCTCTATTACCCTTATAAGGAAGAACATTTACATTTTTTTTGGGGGGGGGGGGGGTTTCTTAAGCGATTGGTAGTTGTATGGGGTGAAAGGAAGCCTTTGGTAAACTTCGGCCGGGTAGGTTTTGGGGTGTAGGGGTTTAAGAGTTTAGGGTTTTGGGGGGTTGAGGATTTCGGGAATTGGCTTTTGGTGTTTTGGGTGGTTTTAGTGGTTTGGTGTGTTTAGTGGTTTGAAGTTTGGAGTGAATGGTCCCTGAACTCGAAGCGGCGTTTGGAGGAGAATAGACCAGTCCGGGTTTCAGCGGTTTAGCAAGCCCGAAACCCTAAACCCTAAACCCTAATGTAGCGAGAAGATCCGTTCACCCCCTCTGTGGGGAACCTTACAAGAATTTGTTTGAAACTTGATAGGTATTGTGTGTTTGTCAAAATCATGGAGATTTGTCAAGTAATGTAAGGTCCACCGAAACGATCGTGAAAAGCATGCTTACACCCATGTGTTTAAGACTTGCAATATGAAGTGTGATTTTGTGGCTATTTGTACTTGCCAGTGTAAACTTCATCGCAAAGTGTTCTGTTATGATTTAATGTACGTGACCCTGCCAAATTGCATGATGCTATGCTTCAACTGCTTACATTCCGTCTGCAGCAAGTTGTAGATTTCTTCAGTGCTCTGAGTTTTACTCGTGGGTGCAGATGTCATCTTCTTTACTTCTTGACTTCGGCAGGCTCTCGCCCACATCCCCCAAAATACCCACACTAACCAACCAGGCCCTCATGTTGCAGTCCCTCCTAGCGACTTCATCGTGTTCAACCCGAAACTTCGAACCCAGCACCCCAGGCCCTAAACCCCTCACCCCTAAACCCCAAAACCCCCGACCACTTCTCCAGGCAGCCGCTGCCTCAATAACCAAGATTCCTACTGGTGTTCTTTTTCAGGGAATGCTGGAGGGGGATGCCTAGTTACCTCATTCCCTTCCTAAGTATTGTCGCCTTACAAAAATCGTATACAGCTTCAAGTTATATTACCCTATACACCCATTCGATGTCCACCGGCCCCTGTATTACCGAACTCTAACCCCAAAAAGCCCTAAACTCTAACACCCTAAAACCCGAAGCCCGAAAACTTCAAGACCCTAAAGCCTAAGTAGCTGAGGGCACTATATTTCCCTATAGAACTGAAAGTGCACGCTCTTCAGGGGCTTATGAACTCAGCAACTACCCTAAACCCTAAACCCCAAACCCTAAACCCTAAACCCTAAACCCCAATTGGGGGCTTATGAACTCAGCAACTAAGAAGCTGAAGCCCATCGCCCAGGCGACGCCGTTGTTCAAAGTTCACCGGCAAGAGGCGCAAATTTCAGATCTGCTGAACTAGCAGCTGATGGCCTCACACAGAGAAAGCCCTACGCGGCCCCAAACCCCTGAACCCTTGAACCCAAACCTCCGAAGCCTTCTAAACCCCAACCCCCTCAACAAAAATTGCCTTAAGCCATGAAGCTTGAAGCCCAGACCGTAAAACGCCCTGAACAGTTCTCCCTGGACCCCAAACCCTAACCTCCTGATTCCTAGATCCCGTTAACCCCCGCAACTGCTTAAAGCACCTCTAAACCCTCTAACCCTCCCCAACTAATAACCTCAACCCTCCACCCTCCACCCTCAACCCTCAACCCTCAACCCTAAACCCTAGCCCTAAACCCTAAACCCTCAGCTTCGAAACCCCATTCTGGCGGAATCCGTGCCGCCATGACGAAGCCCACGCCGCGCGAGCTTCTCTGAGCCTGGACGGCAAGCGGGATTAGGGCTCTTGGGGTTTGGGGGTTTTGGGGGTTTGGGGGTTTGGGGTTTAGGGTTTAGGGTTTAGGGTTTAGGGTTCAGGGGGGTTTAGGCTTAGCTTAGGGTTAGTTTAGGGTTAGGGGTCCAGTTTTGGGTTAGTTTAGGGTTTCGGGTTAGTTTAGGGTTTAGGGTGTCGGGTGTTTGGTGTTTGGGGGTTTAGGGGTTTAGGGGATTGAGGGTTTAGGGATCTAGGGTTTAGGGTTTAGGGGGTTTTGGGGGATTAAGGGTTTAGGGATTGAGGGATCTATTGTGGTTAGGGCCTTTGTAGTTTGGGTTTGGGGGTTTCGGGGATGAAGGGTTTAGGGATTTAGGGGTGTAGGGCTTTAGGGGATTAGGGCTCTCGGGGTTTGGGGTTTAGGGGAGGGGTTCATGGGTAGCTGTAAGTCAGGTTTTAAGAAGTATAGTTTCCATAATTATGAAACTACCTCCAAGTAGGGTTCTTGGGGTTTGGGGGGTTTAGGGGATTAAGGGCTTAGGGATTGGGGGTTAAGGGTTGGGGGTTGAGGGTTGAGGCATTAGGGGGGGGTGGGGGGGTGTTAGGGTTCAGGGTTTGGCGTTCAACCTGGAACTGGCCAAGAAGAGTAGAGGATTTGGTGAATCTGGACCTGAATCTTACTTGGAGGTTCTTGGTACTTATTCACCAATCATAACTGCACATACAACCCACACAGAAGCCCCTCAAGTGCCCTAATATGGTTATAAGTTATAAGTATAGTTTCAAGTACAGTTATAATTTGTTAAGAGGTGCCATGAACCTCCAAGTAACCCCTCTAGTTAGCCCAAGGCAGGCAGTACTTCTCGACTTCAGCGGACGTTATGTAGGACGTAATGGGAGATGGCTTACTTAAAGGTGTCCTGGGGCTCCTTGGGCACCCTAAAGCCTTAAAACCCTTAAACGCTTCAACCTTTAAACCCTTAACCCTTAAACCCACAGCCTGTAATCCTAACACCCCAGCACCCTAGAACCCTAACACCCTAAAACCCGAACACCCTAAAACTCCCACACCCTAGAACCCCTACAACCCCCCAAACCCTAAACCCCAAACCCCAAACCCCAAACCCTAAACCCTAAGCCCTAAACCCTAAACCTGGTAACCCGAGGCTCTGGTGCCTTCGTCGGTCTTGGTGTGGCCTTAGTCCGCTTCGCGGGCGATGTGCAGCTCGCAGCCGATATGCTTCTCAAACAGGGGCTTAGGGGTTTAGGGTTTAGTTTAGAGCTTAGGGTTTAGGGTTTAGGGGTTTAGGGTTTCGGGTTCAGGGTTTAGGTGTAGGGGGCTTGGGGGTTTAGGGCTTAGAAGGCTAGGGTTTTAGGCGTTACAGGGTTAGGATTCAGGGTATAGTGTTCAGTGCGTAGTAATGTGCTGTTCGCTTCGTGGCTCTGGTGAGCTTCGGACATTCCAGGTTCGGCTCGAGGTTCGCGAGCCCGCGTCGGGCAAGTCTCTAGAACTTTCGACCTGGGCCGAAAAAAGTGGTTGGCCGTGTATATCCGAAGCCCGAAACCCCGAACCGTTTCGACTCGAATTCTTTGACCCGCACGACACTCCTACATCCAGAATCTTGGGGCGACGCTGAGGCAGGACCCTGGCTAAGCCACAAGGCTTTGCCGGAGTTTGGTAGTCAGGGTGTAAAGGGATTCCTCCGTTCATATACCTATTTTCCTTCCTTTCTTTATTTCTTTCATTCTTTCGCTCTCTCTCTCTCTCTCCCGCTCCGCCTGTGGGATACTTCCGTAAACCCTAAACCCTAAATCCTAAACCCTTTGGGTGGCTGAGGTACGAGTTGCGCTACCCCAAGGCGTACGTGGATCTGCGGACAGGCGAGGTCAAAGTGCTCGCGGAAACGGTGCGAGTGCAAGGAATGGCGCATGTCGTTCCCAAACCACGCACCCAAAGAACCCAAACCCGCCTAAACTCCGAAACTGTGCCTAAACCCTAAACCCCAAACCTTAAACCTTATAAACCCTAAACCCTAAACCCTAAACCCTAAACCCCAAACCCTAAACCCTAAACCCTAAACCCTAAACCCTAAACCCTAAACCCCTAACCCCTAACCCCTAAACCCTAAACCCCTGCCCCCCCCCCCCCCCCCCCCCCCCCCCCCCCCCCCCCCCCACCCCAACCGCCAGGTGAGGAACACCGCGAGACGCGACCGCTGTCAGACGTGCTGATGCATGCCCTGATCTTCCGCTGGTGCCTGAGCACAGATCGAACGTGCTTGTGGGTTTAGGGTTTAGGGTCTAGGGTCTAGGGTATATTCTAGGGTATGCTATCACAGAGGGCTTGCAGAGTAGACAAGGGCCATTCGCCTCAGTTGTTTATAGTTCATATGGTTTGAGGTTTTATCCTGTGAACCCTAAACCCTAAACCCTAAACCCCAAATCCTGTGAACCCTCGACCTCAGGTTGCGTATTTCTGAAACCCGAAGCTCGGAACCTTGGAACCCTGAGCCTAGAAAAAAAAGGCAGCAAACATTACCACCCAGGCTTTGGGGTTTAGGGTTTAGGGTTCGAGGTTTAGGGTTTAGGGGTTTCGGGTTTTCGGGGCTTCCCAGGGAGTTGGTGGAGAATTCCGAGCCAACACCCTAAACCCCAAACCCTAAACCCTAAACCCCAAACCCCAAACCCTAATTAACCCCTAAACCCCAAACCCTAAACCCTAAACCCCAAACCCTAAACCTCAAAACCCCGAACCCCAACCCTGGAAACGGCTCCTGTCCTCCTAGGCCTTCCAGGGTTACAATTGAGAATGCTGTCGTTCTTACTAACTGGGGTAGTTGAAAGGCGTACCCTAAACCCTAAACTAACCCTAAACCCTAATCCTTAACCTTAACCCTACACCTTTCCTAAAACCTACACCCTAAATCCTTAACCTTAAACCCTAAACCCATTTTCCTTGCTGCCTAAACCCGACGCCGCAAGTCCCATCGGCCCTTGAGGATCCGCCGGATACTGGGCGACGGCTGGCTGTTTCAGCGCGTCTTGTGCAGGCCATTAGTCGGGTTTAGGGTTCAGGGTTTAGGGTTTAGGGTTCCGGGTTTAGGGTTTGGAATGTGGGATGGCCAGGTGGTCCCGCGAGCCCTAAACCCGAAACCTTGAGGGTTGTAAGGATATTTAGTTGGGCCCGAGGCCCCGCCACTTAATCTCCTTCGAGCCACTATGGGACCCAGAGGACCCAGAGCAGGCCCTTATTCACCTTTTTTTAGGGTTTAGGTTCCCGTAGAAGCCCCTTGGGTCTAGATCATGCACATCAGACCCGCAGTAGTTTCGGCTTGTGCATCTGCCGTTTGGTCCCATAAATCGAAAAAGGAGATTCTAGTATTGCACCCCTAAACCCTAAACCCCTAAACCCTAAACCCTATACAGTATACATATATATATATATATACATAGAATGTTTTTGTTTTTTTTGGCAGGCTCTCGGAGCCCTTGTGATTGTTTTGTTGTTGTCATTGTGCATGACCGAAAGCCTAATCCTTCTTCTATTTCAACCCAGGGTCCCTCAACCTTGTCAACCCTTGGTAGCCCGGTGGTGCCCTTCTCCCTTGTCTTGGTTCAAGGTTCCCTTACACAGGAACCTACCAAAAAGGGGTACCCGTCTCATAGCATGGTACAGTTTCCGGGGCTACCAAAGAACCCTAAACCCTGGCAATCAAACTAGGAACTATTGCCATGCTTGTCAAATTATCGGTGCGTTCCGTTGTGAGCCCAGCCCATGGAAAACATATTTTGATAAATCCCCCAATCGTGAATCCTCTAACCCCTAAAGCTTGCCTAAATTTAGGGTTTGGGGTTTAGGGTTTAGGGTTCAGGGTTTAGGGTTTAGGGTGTAGGGTTTAGGAAACCACCAGGCTGAACCGGAACGTGCTGGACTGGGATGTGCCATTTCACAGGTGGCTCGGCCACTGCCCTGGCAGATCAGCAGGCTTAGGGTTAACTTAAGGGTTTGTGGTCTGTGGCCTGTTTTTGGTGGGAGGGGGTGGGGGGGGGGGGGCTTAAAGTTTAGGATTATCTTGAGGGCAGGGTCGGGATTATACTAGCGTCGGACAAGACTATTGTAGATCCCTTCTTGTCTTGATGTTGCGGGCAAACGCCTAAACCCTAAACCCTAAACCCTAAACCCTAAACCCTAAGCCCTAAACCCTAAACCCTAAACCCCTTTTCATTGCACAGCGATAGGGGCCCACCCGACGGTGCGACTGTCATCAGAAACAGGCCCAGGGAAGACGCACCTCCGTAGAAGCGAGCAAGCATGGTTTCATGGCGATTTCTGCTAGTGTGCTGCATTTGCTTGGGGGCGAGTTCTGGTGCATGGATCAGAAACCTGACAATGGACCTCCTGCCCATGGGGCGAACAATGGTACAGATCTGGAGGAAGTGCTGGCCGAAACCAGCTCGAGTTCAGAGCCGGTGGAGCCTCCAGTGCGAAGACCAAGACTGACTCCTACTGCACGACGAGCAGCTCGTCAAAGAGCTCAAGATGAAGAATCTTCACCAACACAGGACTGCAGCTACGATGA